CTGAGCCCCTGGGATGTATAATATTAAGGCTGGTCCCTCTAATATTATACAAGATAGCACATTGATAGGAAAGGTAATCATACAGACAGAAAACAATACTTACTGTCTACCCCAGGTACACTATACTCAATGCTGAGACTGTGAAGTAAGTTCTCATGGAATTTGATAAGTTGGGTATGGTTTAGCATTTTCTATTTGCTGGATTTCTTAGCAAACTTCCCTTACTAGCAACCTTTCTTCAAAGCTATCTGGAATTATAGAAATGCAAAGGATCTTCACTTATACTTTATTTTCTTTTTCCCTGATGTCTGTTTATTGAGATAAAGGGAGAATTAATAGCAAGGAGGTCCAAGAACAGAGACAGAAAAAATATGGAGAATGTGGCAAATAACATGTTAAAGGTCTTGGTAGGTCTATTCTATTACATGTGATTCTCTTTATAACATTTATTATAAAGTTTTAAATTTATGAATTTAGAAACATCATGCAGATAAAGTAACTATAGATCCCATGATACTAGAAAAGAACCTGCAGAAATGAACCTGCAGAAAGGAGGATAACCTGCCTAGCTTGTCATTACAAATAAGAGATTCAATTTCCCAAATACCATTAGAGACATTATTTCCCTCAAAACAAAAAACAAACAAACAAAAAACCAGTTATCAGTGTGTGTGGTGATATTTTATTTGTACTGAAATGTTATTTTAATTTTATGTTAATAAATAAAGTTGCCCTGGGGTCAGAGCTATTAGAGCCATAGTGAGAGCGTGGTGGTTAGAAGAGCTAGGTAGATTTCTGTGTGTTCAGGGATACAGCCAGTATTGGAGACATACGCCTTTAAGACCTGGAGGGCGGTACTTACAGGCAGTGATGAGGCAGTCATGTGGTTGGGTTTACAACCAATGAGAAGGCAGAACAGAAAGATTATTTAAACAGGGACACAGGAAGTACCTCCCTCTCTCGGGGAAGCTAGGAGCACTGCAAGAGGTAAGATTTTATCTCTGAGCTCTGACCTCTCGGCTTTTCTCTTTTACCTTGGCTCTGTGTTTCTTATTTTAATAATACGATTGGTTACATCTACAAGTGTGTGTTGAAGTAACGAATCAATTCTTCCTTGACAGGATCTGGAAGAGACAATAGGACAGACCCCAGTGAATTATGACAAACTCCTGGTACAGAGCAGCCCACATTCACAGCTGGGGTCCACCTGCATGCCAGGTTCTAGTCCTGTTGAGTCTTCAAACACTCTCTTAGCATTTGCCCACCATCCTTAGCAGTAATTTTTTTTCATTCAGTCACAGTCCTCAGAATCATAATTTAATTTGCTTCTTGTCAAATGAAACTGAACCTTGGATTTAGCTTTCTGTGAAAGGTTGCATAATAACTGCTATCTTGCTTTCTCTGCAGTCTAACTCTTGAGCCTAAGTGTAGATTTACTTCTCATCTACACAAGTACAGCTTTAGCATGAAATGATTTAGACAAGAGAAGAAGGAGGTGTGCCTATGCATTACCCGCTTACCATATTTTCCCCTTGAGAATCATTTCCTTCTTCTTTAAGCAGATATCAATTTGGAGAAGCAGCCTTTTAGCAGTATCACAAGGGAAACTGACACAGGTACTTTGGCTTTGTTTATCAGATTAGGGAATCCAATGGGTCTTTTTCCTTGTCACTTTTCTTGAAAATATACAGATTCTGAATATTTGGATATAATTAGTTCCTTACTTAGCAAAAGCTTCTATGTGACTTTCTGGGTATGGCTGTAAAAAGGGGTGGAGAAGAAGGAAATGAAAAGAAAAGAAAACCTGAAGCTCAGTCAATATAACACAAAAAAGATTGAAGCATCCACAATGCTCCTTTTGATGACCTCCCTGTATATAACAGGGGTCAGGCTAATTTTACACAGTGCCTATGACAACAGAAATTTTTATTCTGACATCACCCAGTTGAATAAGAATTTAATTGCTGAAAATTATTGTATTGTTTTAAAATGTTGAGATTTCTTTCTGGAGAATTCCTATCTGTCTAGGTCAGGGACAGAAAAATAGTACCCTTTGGGCCCAGTGATATCCAGAAACAGGTTTTGTAGATGAAATTCTAAATGGTCTTATTAAATAAGAAACAGAACCAAAATAAGAGTTAAAAGCCCAGAGATAAGAGCAGTAGCCAAGAGCTAAGACCACCTCATCTTACCACCTGCTGCCGTCCTTCCCCTGAGAGAGAGACCTTCTTCCTGTGTCCTGTCTTTTTATTGCCTTTCTGTTCTGCCTTCTCATTGGTTCTAAACCCAACCACATGACTTCCTCATCACTGCCTGTCTATACAGACCTCCAGGTCTCTATGGTTGGTACTGAGATTGAAGGTTCAGGTCGCTGCTTGGCTGTGTCCTGGAACACACAGAGACTCTGCCTAACATGATCGGATTAAAGGTGTGTGCTACCACTGCCTAACCTCTATGTTTAATATTGTGGCTGTTCTGTTCTCTGACCCCAGATAAGTTTATTAGGGTGCACAATATTTTGGGGAACACAATATCACCACATTTCCCTTTTTGTCTAAAATTTAAAAATGCTTATAACTAATACAAGAGAAACTATATCCAATAAGTATATATAATATATACAGTCAAGAATTACATTAACAATGTCTAGTCCACTAACATTTGACAGATTCAGACAAAAAACTCCATTATATATACTAACAATGTCTAGTCCATTATCATTTGACAAATTCAGATAAATATTTTCATTACTTATTCTACTTAAAACAAGTAGTTCCTTTTTAAAAGTAGATTCAAAATCTCCCTTTTTACCTTATCAAGGTTTTATTTGATCACATCCCTCTTATTTATTAACATTGTAGAGGGAGGTTTTCCTCTACAACAGAAGGACTGGACAATTGCAACAGACCACATGGCCCACCATACCTGGAATATTTACTGCCTGGCCCTTTACTGACCCCTGCTCTAAAATATATGTTGTCTTTACTAACAATTTGTTTATGACAAAAGAATGTTTAATATCTTAAGGAACTCATTAGTGTTCAGTTTTCTCAAAGAATCTTGAGTTATCTGATGATTCCAATTATCTCCTATAAATCATAAGAATTCATCCATGACCCATGTATGATGCAGTGATAGTGATCCTATCCATTGTTCTTCTATGCCTAAGAGAGCATGAATGAGCAACCAGCATGGAGTCAGACTGAGAGCTAAGAAAGCTTATAATTTACTGTCTCTTCAAATTAAATCTTTAGCTATATTTTCTTCTGTACTCTCAGAGAGAATGGGTGCTATATTG